ATAGGTAACTATTAGATTCTTGTGTGTCCTTAAATAGGCTTTACTAATATATATATAACCAAATATGAATATATATTTATTTCTCATTACCAAAATAGTGGCATAGGGTACACACTGTTCCTCAATGTGATTTTTCCCTATGTTGGGAGATATTTCTATATTAGTGCAAGCGATGACTGGCTTGCCCTATTTCTGTATATAGTGGGATGATCCTTCAAGTTAAAATTAATTTTTTGTAAAGAATAAAGACATACCTTTTTATTTCCTTATTCCTCAAACTTCCTTTTTATTCCCAATCTTAAATTTTAAAAACCTTGCTAATTCCTGATAAAAATATTAATCCTTCTTGTATAGAAATAATTAGTAATGAAATTATGAATACAAAATATGTGACTTTTGTTTCAACCTGAAAGGATTTTTGACAATAAAATATTCCTGCTTTATTCTGCATATGAATTTATGCCACACACTGAATAAATTTTTAATTTTTTGTTACAGAAAGTAGTTGATGTTAACAAATAGAACTAAGCATATATTTATTAATTTGTAAACAACAGGGTACAAGACTGCATTGTTTTTGCCCTCTGGTAGTGGCAGATTTATACTTATATACATTCTTAAACTTGACCTACTATGAGAATTTGCTACATTAATTTATTCAACAAGTATTTACTGATTAATTACAAAGTGCTCATATACGCTGTAAAGAATACAAGAGATGTACAAGATGATTTCTGTCTTCCAGCTTAGAGGCAAGGGGAAGACATAAGACATCTACTTGGAAAATGTTTAAATACATGCCTCAGATGGCACTTCCATGGCCGATGCTAGCTTCTTTCCATTTCCATTACTACCAGTCTCAGCCAGTCTTTATTTCTTCTAATCTAGACTGCCATGTTAGACTCCTACCTGGCCCCCTACATTTCATAAGCCCTCACTCCTACCCAGCATACACACAATGCCATAGAGGGTAACAGCTCTAATAGTTTCACTCTTCACAAAATAAATATAAACCTCTACAGCAATAAAGGGCTTACTGAGTGTGGTTTAAATAGAACATTCTAGTTTTGGTTCCCTTTGGTCCCTTCTTCATCTCATATTCCCAAACTCACAAGCCTACTGTTTTCCCCCTGAAAATGTCCTAGAACTTGCTTTCTTTTTCCTCATGCTGTTTTCTCTTCAAGAAACATCCCTTTCCTTTTTTCAGAATTCTGTCATCCTCATATGGTGATCTTTTATACTATATTCATATTAGACATAATCTGTATGAGAGAGAGCGAGAGCGTGCGAATGTGTGTGTGTGAACAAGACCACATTTGTGGAGGTTATCAGGAAGATATTATATAGTTATTAATTATATATTAGCATATACTTTACTTCTTTGTTTACTTGTTTCTTCTATTAGACTAAAGTTCTTGACCAAAACTTGTATTTTACTAGTCTTTATTTCCACTTTAGAACAAAGTATAAGCTTTGTACATAGAAGGTTCTCAGTAAATACTTATGTAATCAAATTGAAATTATTTGAATCCAATGCTGTAGAAAAAAAAATCAATTTCATTTAGTGAACTGGCCTAGGAAGATTTTTTGAATAAGGCCTTGGACAGGTCTTTTTTTTTTTTTTAAAGATTTTTTATTATTTATTTATTTATTTATTTGACAGAAAGAGAGAGAGCACAAGTAGGCAGAGCGGCAGGCAGAGGTAGAGGGAGAAGCAGGCTCTCTGCCGAGCAGGGAGCCTGACGTGGGGCTTGATCCAAGGACCCTGGGATCATGACCTGAGCCAAAGGCAGCCGCTTAACTGACTGAGCCACCCAGATGTCCCTGGACAGGTCTTTGGATACATGGGGAAAAACCTGACAGAGACTCTATGATAAAAATTTGTTGGAATGGGACACAAAATAATTAAAAACAACAATCGCAAAAAAGCAGCAACTCTGATTTCCGTAGAGTTCTACTTTTAATAATCATATCATTGGCCTGAAAAAGTAAAAAGAGATCCATGGCATTTATATCAATATGATAGTAAAGTAGGACTTAATGATACTAAAGAGATTCATTAAACATTAAAAATATATCAACTATTTCAAGTTGGTAACAAAATTTTTTGACTAAATTTTAGAATTTTTAAGTTGGAGGTTTGCAGGATATAAAGTTACTCTTTTTAAAAACTCATACATGATTATTTCAAATAAGAACCTTAAATTAGGGGCACCTGGGTGGCTCAGTCCATTGAGCGGCTGCCTTCGGCTCAGGTCATGATCGCAGGGTCCTGGGATCGAGCCCCGCGTCGGGCCCCCCTGCTCAGCGGGGAGCCTGCTTCTCCCTCTCCCTCTGCCTGCCACTCCCCCTGCTTGTGCTCTCTATCTCTCTGTCAAATAACTAAATAAAATCTTAAAAAAAAAAAAAAGAACCTTAAATTATAAGAGTGGCTTAAGATCTATGTTTAACTAGTTATTTATGTGTATTTGTCATTAGTGTCTCCTGATATAAAGAGATTTATCTGTTACATAAAATCTGTGTTTACATAGTTGGATCACCTTTGCAGGTTTCTATAAAACTTGGATAAGTGAAGGTATATGACTACATTTCTTTTTATTTCTTTCCTTTCTTTCTTCTTCTCTGTATAAAACTCTATATTTCTGTATGAAATTATTTAAAGTTAAAATGTGTAAGAAAAGATTTCTTAAGCAAACTTCAACTTACATTTTTTCACTTTATTAATCTGAAATATAAAATTGTTTACTGATTTTTCAAAAGCTGAAGAGAAGCTTTACTTAAACATTACACTAACCATAAAGATGATACTAGTGTATATTACACTAACCATAAAGATGATACTAGTAAATATTTGGTGTCATAGTCAAGAAATTTAGGTTTCATTACTATCTTCCCAACAGAAAAGCCATAAGCAGTATCTAGAACAATGAGTGGCTCAATGTTCCAGTTACAGAGAAATGTCATTTGGCTAGAATAATTTAATAATATATTTTATTATCTACCTACTTCTTTTTGTATCCAGAATATTGAAATGAAAATGTCGATAGATGTTGTACTCAGAATAAATACACTCCCAAAGATGGCCACATCCTAATTTCTAGAATCTGTGAATATGTTACCTACATGGCAAAAGGGACTTTGCCGATGTGATTAAGATTATTATGAACTTTAAGATGGGGAAGTTATCCTAGATTACCCACGTGGGCCCAAGAACATGTTTCGGAACAATTTTTTGCATCCCTATTACTTAGAACATGCCAAACCCATAGTAGGCACTTAGCAAATATTTGTTGAATGAATAAAAGAAGGAATAATATAATATTGGGGAATCAAGAAAGAAAGAATGTAACAATTAATTATCTGTATTTGTAGAATTCTAGAAGGTGTCATACTTTTTAAAACAGTAAAAATCACTGCTCACCATTTTTTTCCCTGTAGGAATATAGGTAATAAAGTGAAAAACACCATGAAATCAAAAGAACCCCAATGTACCTTTGAAATATGATCCAGTTTGAAAATTTCTTCTTTGTTCCCGTGGAATAAAAACCTAACAATTGAAAATGTTATGATGATGCAATGCAACAAATTGGAAGTATAAAATTTTAAGTTACCTTATCTGTATAATAATTATAGTGAAAATATAATGACCCCAAATACTGATTTTAATTAGTAAAACACTGATGGGAGAAGAATAAAAAAGGAATTACTCTGAATTAAAATATAATTTTCTTATTTTTAAAATAATCCCTTATCTCTATTAAAAACTCCAAATTTTAAGCTTATAAATTTTGGTAAAATCTGGACAAAAGATGGTAAATTCATAAAGACAACCTAACCTGGTGGTAAAAAATTAAATGGCTCCATTGAAAAACCCAAAAATCAGAAGTACCTGGGTGACTCAGTTGGCTAAGCATCCCACTCTTGATTTCTGCTCAGGTCATGATCTCGGGGTCATGAGATCAAGCCCCATGTTGGGCTCTGTGCTGAGTGTGGAGCCTGTTTAAGAGTCTCTTTCTCCCTCTCCCTTTGTCCCTCCCCCCCCGCCCCCAGGCCAGCTCTGACTCTCTCTTAAAACAAAACAAAAAAACCCCCCAAAAACAAAACAATTCTGCAGTCTAACCTAAGTGACCAGTTCTCTAGTTCCAATTCCATAATTCTGTCCTAGACACATAATCTCAGATAAAACAGATTCATGTAACAAAGAACACAACATTTTTTAGTATAACAAAATTTATGCCTAACTCAAATATCCAACAATAAGAGAATGGTTAGGTAAATAGATCGTATATTTAAACATCATGCACTAAAACAAATGTAGCATGAAAGAAAATCAGTGTGGAAATTTTTAAACATAGTTTGATCTCAATAATTTTAAAACATGTATAGAAAAAATTTAGAAAGCAATATGCCATAATATTACATATAATTGGTAGCATTATAGAATATTTTAATTGGTACTGTTTTTTACTGTTTTCCAAATTTTCATTATTAAAGTTACTATTTTATATTCAGAGAAAGCATTTTGTAATGGAAAAGAAAAATTCTAATATAAACAATCACTTATGATCATTCAACATTTCAAATTCTGTAATCATGTCTATTTCATGAAAACCTCTGTAGGAATGGGCTGTTTTAAACTCACCCAAGGGCTTTTCAAAATAGCATCAAAGTACATTTTAGGTTTGATCTGAGGAACAAAATCTTCTTAAATAATGAAACTCAATATTAACTACAAAGAGACAGGTTAAATAAACATTTTATGAGAGAAACAACCACTATTTTTGGTAACTTAAAGAGCTATTTTTTTATTTACATAATTACTAATATTGTGTTAGGTGGCTGAATTATTATTATGTATGTAATCAAATCCTACCTTTGCAGGTTCTTAGCATATAAATTCTATAACTTTGTACACTTACTACAATAAGCTGGTGATAATTAGTTTTATATACCACTGCTGGTCAAATAAAAACCAATATATTGGTGGAATTCTTACTTACCGTGGTAGCACAATGAATATCTTTCCACACTGTGGCTTCCCTGGAGAGATCAGAGACTTCAAACAAATTATCAAGAATCACTTCCCCAATCATGTCATGTCTAGAAAATCTGTCAAAATCATATACACTGAAATGTAGTTTTCGGTTGCTTAGTTGATCATATGCTACAGGAAATTGAAAAGTTTCATCAAATAGAGGATTTAAAGTCTTTCTGTGCACACGGGTCTGAAATTTCTTCTTCCTGTCTGGAAGAAGATACATCTTCATATAAGGGTCAGAAGTGCCTGTGAAGTCTTTAGCAGGGAGATCTAAGGCTTTGATAATTTTAACAACTAGAAGTTCATTTTCATAGTCATACTGGAGGGTGAAGTTAAGTTTCCCACAGGTTTTGATATCTTCTTGCCTGTTGCCCTCAGAGTCAACTGATTTCTGTTTGTAGAGCTCTGGTTTTATCCTCCCAATGCTGGTTGTTGTTTCTCCTCTTTGTAAAACGGGTTCTGTGCCCATGCTAAAATCAACACTGGAAACCTGCATTTGCCTCGGTAGGTGTCTCCGGAAGGAATTGTGGCTGTACACACACACACAAAATAATTTAGGAAGATCATTTGATGACAACATTATATGGTGGCATATAAACTTTCCCCCATCCCCAGGATAATGAAAGCATTGCATTTGTATCAATAGACAGACAGACAGACAGACAGACACACACACACACACACACACACACACACACACACAAAGAGCTACTTTTGAAAAATGGGAGAAATGCAATATTCAAAGGAAAAGGCTTCTAAAATGATAGAAGCACCTGAAACACTCAAATGTACATTTTTTATGAGCTTTTGGAATTTTGTACCATCAATCACAAGCATATAATTACATAAATTACATACTATTGTAAAAAAACATGATTACCAACAAAGTTTAGTATTCCACAAAATACCGTGAATCATCAATCGTCTGGTTATATCTAGCTGTCAGTCTTATGCAGACAAATCATTCAGATGGCTGGTTTCTTTATATCTACATATTTGTGTCTCATGAATCTCCTGTCTTACTGACTACCCCCATTACAATAAAAAACATAAGTCCACCTATTCTTACACTGTGTTAATTATTTCTAATACTTAAGATAATTAAATGAGTATTTACTTGCAAAGAGAATATATTGTGGTGACAGCCAAAATTAGTACATTTTTCTTTTTTCAACATGGAGTGGGCTTCAGAAATCCTGAGGATTAAAAAATGTAGAATTTTAGAATTTGGGGCCAACATAATAGAGTGTTTTAGAATTCAAACTGACTTTCCTATTATCACTGTTACTACTAATCTGGTCAACATTTCCAGAACACTGGCTGTATCAACTAACTAGTGCCTTGTAAATGTGACTTGCACTAAGATCTGCTTCTCTTCTACTTCCTCTGTGATTTCTGACAGGAACCATATCAACTTATGTGACTACTCAATGCTCAGTCCCAGGTATTTTGTTCTTTATTCTCCTTGGTCTCTCCATCAGTCTAATCATTTCTCAGACTATAACTGTCATCTTAAATCTGATGGTTCCTTGCATATATCTCAGATATATAAACTTCTAGTTCCATATTTCTATATCTCTAAGGGAGATTTCTAAATGGTTATCTTAATTTTGCTCCAAACTCAAGCAAATTCATTATTTTCTGCTTTTTACTCCCAAACTGGTGCTCCCTTCCACAATCTTAGAAAATAGCTCTAACATTATCAGCCACATATGCTTGGGAGCCTGCATTATGCTTTGGATCACCTTTCCTTTATTCATGAGATTTACTCAATTTTCTAAATCTTGTTGATGTTTGCTTTGAAACATCCCATATACTTGTCCATTCTGTTTCATTTCCATTGCTACTCAGTCCGGATCCTCATCACCTTATATTTGGCTTTCTATACTAGCCTTTGGCTGATTTTCCTTCTTTCAGCACTCTCTTATACTTAATATCTATGTAGCACTTACTTCAAAATCCTCTACTCACTTCTGTTGTTTATTACATCAGGTCTACATTACTTTTTACAGCAAGCGCTAAGTAATACTGAGGCTATTGCTTAACTAATACTTGATTCATTGATGCACACATAAGGACTGATTTAAGAGGGATAAAAAAGTAGTGATAATCAGAAGTAAGATACCTAGCCAAGATACCATTTGAGAAATAGCTCAAAGAGCTGAGGATATTGAGCCTAGAAAGGACAGGAATCTGACTTCTAATATCCGAAGGACTGTCATGGCAGAATTAATAAGAATCAGTGGAAGTTACAGGTAAAGATAGACTTCAGCTTGATATAAGGGAACATTTAAAAATATCTAGAGCTGTACAAAATGGTGAAGTAATGAACTTCCACAAACACAATGTATAGAAACAAAGGTCAGATGTTGAAGGAAAAGGTTTCTGCCTCAGGTGAGATGCTAGACTTCTAAGTGTTTTCTAACCCCTAATTTCTATGATTCTCTATCATTCTATGACTCTTTAATAATTTTATTCAAGATATCATTATTATGATATCATAATAAAATAGAATTTTATTATGCAAATTGTAAATTATGTAAAATCAGAATTATAATCTGAGGTGTTCCAAATTCATTCTCTTATAATGAATTAGCTTATTTTCTATTAATGGGACTGAAATACTAAACAACTATCTTTTTTGTGTGTTTGGCATTTTCCATATTTCCTTTTTGTGTTGTTGTTTGAAGTATTTATTTATATTCTAGTTAGTTAACATACAGGGCAATATTGGTTTCAGGAGAAGAATTTAGTTATTCATCACTTACATATAACCCCTAGTGCTCATCACAAGTGCCCACCTTAATGCCCATCACCCATTTAGCCCATCTGCCCACCCACCTCCCCTCCAGCAACCCTCAGTTTGTTCTCTATCATTAAGAGTCCATTTTATGGTTTGCCTCCCTCTCTTTCTTTTTTCTTCCTTCCCCTATGTTCATCTGTTTTGTTTCTTAAATTCCACATATGAGTGAAATCATATGGTATTTGTCTTTCTCTGACTGACTTATTTCTTTTAGCATAATACACTCTAGCTCTGTCCACGTCATTGCAAATGGCAAGATTTCATTCTTTTTCATGGCTGAGTAACATTCCAGTGTGTGTATACCACATCTTCTTTACCCATTTATCAATTGATGGTCATTTGGGCTCTTTCCATAATTTGGCTATTGTTGATAATGCTGCTATAAACTTTGGGGTGCATGTGCCCCTTTGAATCAATATTTTTGTATCCTTTGGATAAATACTTAGTAGTGTAATTGCTGGGTCATAGGATAGTTCTATTTTCAACTTTTTGAGGAACCTCCATACTGTTTTCAGAGTGGCTGCACCAGCTTGCATTCCCACCAACAGTGTAAGAGCGCTCCCCTTTCTCCATACCCTCACCAACATTGTTGTTTCCTGAGTTGTTCATTTTAGCCATTCTGACAGGTGTGAGGTGGTATCTCATTGTGGTTTTGATTTGTATGTCCCTGATGATGAGTGATGTTGAGCATCTTTTTATGTGTCTGTTAGCCATCTGTATGTCTTCTTTGGAAAAATGACTATTCATATCTTTTGCCCATTTCTTAACTGGATTATTTGTTTTTTTGGGGTGTGGAGTTTGAGAAGTTCTTTATAGATTTCGGATACTAACCCTTTATTAGATATGTCATTTGCAAATATCTTCTCCCACTCTGAAGGTTGCCTTTTAATTTTGTTGATTTTTTTCCTTTGCTGTGCAGAATCTTTATCTTGGTGAAGTCCCAATAGTTCATTTTTGCCTTTGTTTCCCTTGCCTCCAGAGATGTATCTAGCAAGAATTTGCTATGGCTGATGTCAAAGAGGTTGCTGCCTGTGTTTTAATCTAGGATTTTGATGATTTCTTTTCACATTTAGGTCTTTCATCCGTTTTGAACTTATTTTTGTGTGGGGTGTAAGGAAGTGGTCCAGTTTCATTCTTCTGCATGTTACCGTCCAGTTTTCCCAATGCCATTTGTTGAAGAGACTGTCTTTTTTTCAATCAGATATTCTTTTCTGCTCTGTCAAAGATTAGTTGACCAGACGGTTGAGGGTCCATTTCTGGGTTTCTTTTCTGTTCTACTGATCTATGTGTCTGTTTTTGTGCCAGTGCTGCCTTGATCACTACAGGTTTGTAATAGAGCTTGAAGTCTGGAATTTGATGCCTCCCGCTTTGCTTTTCTTTTTCCAGATTGTTTTGGCTATTCAGGGTCTTTTGTGGTTCAATATGAATTTTAGGATTGTTTATTCTAGTTCCGTGGAGAATGCTGGTGGTATTTTGTTAGGGATTGCATTAAATGTGTAGATCACTTTGGGTAGTATAGACATTTTAACAATATTTGTTAAATATGAGCATGGAATATTTTTCCATTTCTTTGTGTCCTCTTCAATTTCTTTCATAAGTGTTCTAGTTTTCAGAGTACAGATCCTTTACCTCTTTGGTTAGGCTTATTTCTAGGGTCTTAACGGTTTTTGGTGCAATTGTAAATGGGATCGATTCCTTGATTTCTCTTTCTGCTGCTTCATTATTGGTGTATAGAAATGCAACAGATTTTTGTACATTGATTTTGTATCATGTGACTTTTCTGAATTCGTGTATCAGGCCTAGCAATTTTTGGGGGGAGGCTTTTGGTTTTCTACGTAAAGTATCATGTTGTCTGTGAATAGTCAAAGTTTGACTTCTTCCCTGCTGATTTGGATACCTTTTCTTTTTGTTGTCTGATTGCTGAGGCTAGGACACTAAACAACTATTTAAATACCATAGAAATGGTACAGCTAATCCCATTCTAATTCTTTTTTTTTTTTTTAAGATTTTATTTATTTATTTGACAGAGAGAGACACAGCTAGAGAGGGAACACAAGCAGGGGGAGTGTGAGAGGGAGAAGCAGGCTTCCTGCCGAGCAGGGAGCCCGATGCGGGGCTCAATCCCAGGAGCCTGGGATCATGACCCGGGCTGAAGGCAGATGCCCAACAACTGAGCCACCCAGGCACCCCTCCATTCTAATTCTTGATATTCTTTAGCACTAATCTGATAATGGAATACCATTTATTTCTTTAAGCCTGTATATCTATCCTTGATACACAGGATTAGGGGCTTAAATTAGGGACAGGCAACCATTAGAGAGTATTTAGGAAAGTAAGAAGAATTTTAAAAGGAATACAAGTTCAGACCAACAATAGTACAAATCTCACTCCCTTCACTTGCCAGTTGCATGACTCTGGGCAGGGCCTCTTAGGGCTTCAGTCTGAAAAATGGGTGTAATGGTATTACCCACGCCATAATGTGTGGTGCAAATTATGTGAAATGATGCATGAAAAATAATGATATAAATTAAAAAAAATAATAAAGGAATATAAGTAGTATATGTTCTGTATTATGAAAGGAGTCTAGTATAACTTAGTTCTATATTCAGTGTACCTAAGAGATTAGGATATTTTGTTAAATAATTTAATATTTCTGCCCAAATCACTTTTACTTATATAATGATTTAAAAAAAAAATTTGTAAACAAAATACCCCCAAAGGTAAATT